AAAAATAATGACATTTATAAGTAATAATAGTATATATAGATATTTAATAGATATAGATATATGTATAAGCATATATAAATTTTAAAATATGATTTTTTATGGATTGTTTAATTATGAAATATCTAAAATTAAGGAGATTTAATTTTGTTTGATTTTTAAATTGCGTATTTGATTTTGTTTGGATTTTAAATTTTGAATTGCGTAGATAATAGGGTATTTTCGTCTTTACATAAATAAATGTCCTTAAAATCCAAAAAAAATCTGTTTGGATGTTTTTGTCCTAAAAATCCAAAACATTATTGCGGCTTTCAAAAATCCCTTACATTTTTAACAATTTTTGCAATATAGAGCTAACATGATGGGCATAGCTTAGGACAGGTCGACGGGCCTGGCAGGTAAGAAATCACTACCGTACCTTTAAAAGTAGGGTTTTTTTAGGCGTGGGTATAATATTTTAAATTTATTTAAATAAAAGTATATGGATAAATTATTTATTCTATTAAATATAATTTTTATAAATTTTTTTGTGTTTAGGTACAAAATTTAAATGAATTAAAATCTTTTTTACTTAAACACTCTTCCTTAATTTGTGCAGTCATCATTAACAGTTATTTGAGGAAACAACACTCTTCCTTAATTTATGTAGTCATTATTGACAATTATTTGAGAAAACAAATATGTAAATATTATATATTTGTTATCTTTAATTTTTGAATTTTGAATAAGCAGTTTTGTATGCAGTAAAAGTTTGTATTCAACTGATATCTGCAGTAAGACAAAAAATTTATGCAGTGACACAAAAAGTCTTCAACAGTCTCTGCAGTTTGTTAAAAAAAAAAATGATCTTTGCATTAAGAGTCTTCTTTAATGTTTGTGTTCATCTAATCTCAACAGTAAGAGTCTTATTCAAAAGTCGATTTACTTCTCCGATGGTGAATTTATTCGAAAAAAGAAATTGTAAATACCAATCACCGTCTAGAATTGTGTTTTTAATGGGTGTAACTATTGTTTTAGTATAGACATTAATGAATGTTTTTGAAAAAAGGTTACTATATAACTGTTTGTTAATTAATTTATTTTATCCTCATGTTATGAAGCAAAAATTGTTTTATGTTGTTTGTTATTCGGATGAACGAAAAAAAAAAAATTGTTTTGGTTTTTAATGGGTTCAACTGTTTTTTTAATCAGAATTATGTTTTAATGTAACTGCTCTTGTATGCAATTTTTTAGCCAATATCTATATTGACAAATACTATATATTTGTAACTATTTTTTGTTTTATCTTTTTCTCCCAATTTTTTATTACAAATAATTACTTAAAACAATTACGTAACTATTTTTAATCAAAAAATCAAACAACACAGATTGTGGAAAAAAAAATTAATGAATGACAAAAAAACAAAAATGAATGTCACTTGTAATTTTCGATGAAAAAATTGCCAAAGATGGTTCACAATTACTGGACCGTGGAACATCATAAGCAATAATTTGTATTCTTCTTATTTTGGATGATGAACAGTAACTCGTATTCCTCTTTATTTTGGACAATAAACAGTAACTCGGGTTCTTTTTTTTTTTGGACGATAAACAGTCATAGTTCTGGCATTCCAATTCCTCTTCAGAAAAAGATGAATTTTGATAATTAAACCCCCTATTTTATCTCTCACTTTATTTTAGCCAAAAAAACGGATGGAAGATGATTAATTTCCATATATTTACTATTTACCTATGGCAATAATGGCATTTTAAAAAAAATATGTACTTTACCCAAAAAAAAATTTTTGAATTATACTTTTGCCTAAATAAATCTAAAGAATTCAACCAACTTCTAAATTGCCCGTAAAAGTAGCAGGATGGGCTGACCATAGTCCAGTAAATCAAGGAAATAATGGGCCATCCATGGGCCTCTTTATTTCTGCCAAGGCCTACCAATAGATGCACCACCAATCGGCTTTCTAGTCTGATGGCACGATCTCGTTGGTACTGGAACATTCTAGAGAGAGAGAGAGATCACAAGAACGTCCACAGAAATTAAACCGAAACCGCCTATATTGACCCCTAATCCCTCCTCCTATTCCGTCAACAACTCCTCAATTTCCTCTATAAATTGAAACCCTTCCCTGCTCTCTTCCTCTTATAATCAAATCTTTCTCAGATCTCAGTCGTCACTTCTTTTCTCTCTCTTTGCAGTTAATATCTCTTTTCTTGTTTTTAGATTCCTAACAGTTCGATCAAGATGCAGATCTTTGTGAAAACCCTAACCGGTAAGACCATAACTCTCGAGGTCGAGAGTTCTGATACCATCGACAACGTCAAGGCGAAGATCCAAGACAAAGAGGGAATTCCTCCTGATCAACAGCGTCTGATCTTCGCCGGAAAGCAATTGGAAGATGGACGAACCCTAGCCGATTACAACATCCAAAAGGAATCCACTCTTCACCTGGTACTCCGACTTCGTGGTGGGATGCAGATCTTTGTCAAAACCCTAACCGGCAAGACGATCACGTTGGAGGTCGAAAGCTCTGATACCATCGACAACGTCAAGGCCAAGATCCAAGATAAGGAGGGAATTCCTCCAGATCAACAGAGGTTGATCTTTGCCGGGAAGCAATTAGAGGACGGTCGTACTCTTGCCGATTACAACATCCAGAAGGAATCGACCCTTCATCTGGTTTTGAGGCTTCGCGGTGGAATGCAAATATTCGTGAAGACCCTTACTGGGAAGACGATAACTTTGGAGGTTGAAAGCTCCGATACCATTGACAACGTCAAGGCCAAGATTCAAGATAAGGAAGGTATTCCTCCGGATCAACAGAGGCTGATCTTCGCAGGAAAGCAATTGGAGGATGGAAGGACCCTCGCCGATTACAACATTCAGAAAGAGTCCACACTCCATCTCGTCCTCCGTCTGCGCGGTGGTATGCAGATCTTCGTCAAGACTTTGACCGGAAAAACCATCACCCTTGAGGTCGAGAGTTCTGATACAATTGATAACGTCAAGGCAAAAATTCAAGACAAGGAGGGCATCCCACCGGACCAACAGAGGTTGATCTTTGCCGGGAAACAACTTGAGGACGGTCGCACTCTCGCAGACTACAATATTCAGAAGGAATCGACCCTTCATCTGGTGTTGCGCTTGAGGGGAGGAATGCAGATTTTTGTTAAGACTCTGACTGGAAAGACTATAACTTTGGAGGTGGAGAGTTCTGATACGATCGATAATGTGAAGGCGAAGATTCAGGACAAGGAGGGGATTCCACCGGATCAGCAGAGGCTCATCTTTGCTGGGAAGCAACTTGAAGATGGGCGCACTCTTGCTGATTACAACATCCAGAAGGAGTCAACCCTGCACCTTGTCCTCCGTCTCCGTGGTGGTGATTCCTGAACAAGCTTTCGATTGTATTGATGGGGTGTTTGCTCTTTTTCAACATTGAAATAATTTCTTTGGCTTCTTTAGGTACATTAGGAAACTGTGAAATCTTTCCTCTTTTTTTATGTCTCGGTGCTTTTTTATTCGAATAAAATTGTGAAGTTTGCATATTATATCCCAATTGTCTGCTTGATTCGTTTTCTGCATCTAAATTAAATGCTCTTATTTCGTTTGTTTGTTTAGCAAGTTGGAAATTTTCTTATTTTTTTGGTTGTGTGGCTGGCTGAGAAATTTTTGGGAGATGGTATATTGTGGGCTTGGCTGCATGNCAAGTTGGAAATTTTCTTATTTTTTTAGTTTTGTGTGGCTGGCTGAGAAATTTTTGGGAGATGGTATATTGTGGGCTTGGCTGCATGACTTACAGTACCTTAACTAAGAATAAACCCTTTGTTTTCTTTAGAGCATATGCTTGATGGTTGTGTGGTAAAGGTAGATTGGTGTAGATTTGATGCTACTTCTGATACGACATNTGACTTACAGTACCTTAACTAAGAATAAACCCTTTGTTTTCTTTAGAGCATATGCTTGATGGTTGTGTGGTAAAGGTAGATTGGTGTAGATTTGATGCTACTTCTGATACGACATTGTAATTGGTATGTCGTTTTGTTCAATGCTGGATAGGTTGTCTTTGTATCTCTCTCTGATTCAATTTCTATTCAAGTTTTTTTTTACTTTATTCCCCATATATGGCCCTTTGAAATTTATTTCCCACACTACCATTGTTCATAAAAATTTGTTTTTTTAATCCACGATTTGGAGTACATGTTTGCAAATCACGTTTTCAGAAGCGATATCTTGAGAAACAAATTTCTAGTGTTCTCTCCTTGCGGAATGTTTTGCAGAAGGATAGGGAGTCCAGAAGAGCTGTTGATCAAAATGGTATAGTTTTGATCCAAAAGATGCCGTCGTTCTGTTTTAATCAACGGCATGGGATTCTCAGTCAAGGTTAGGAAGTATTTGATCTCCATACTGTCTGGACTCTCCAGAAAATATGTTAAATCACTTTTAGATTATCTGGAAAGTCCACTGGTCAAATCTTATGCGTGGTTAGAAGGGATGAAGGTTTCCTTGTTGGGGGGAAAGCATGGTCAGGTTGCAACACTAGGAAAGATTTATGTTGGTACTTGCTAAATGCTAATGATGGGTGGTTTACATCATCGAAAAATATTGTTTGGTTGATGCTTAGCTGAGCAAGAATACATTTATCTTACGATTGAAGGTTCTAAAACACCCGAACAAGAATATGATAATGAAAAATAATTCATGTTAATTTGATTTATTTGTAGTCTCGGATGATGAAGATAATAACCTGAAGTAGTAGTAGTGCATATGTATGAAAATTTTACTTACGTTTTTATTGGATGAAACAAAGAGATTGCGTTCCTAAAATCTTTTTTTAAGCCGCCCATGTTTCTTGATCTTTCTGAGCTATTCTATTGTATGGGATTAGCAGTAGATTCTATGGGCACCTATGAATGAAAATCTGAGCTACTCACGAGGGGCTATCGAAAAATACATGGTGCTATTTCTTTTGAGACTTCCAAATTCCCATTGCTTGGCAATTTCATCATTATTGCCCACTGGCATCGTGTAGAATGGTTGAGTTTTTCTCAAATGAGAAATCTGCTGATTGCATCTCAATTTCATGCTGTGAGGGATGAGTTTCTGGGCCTGAACGTTTCTCTCTTGACTCCTCTCCTTCCGGTAGATCCTGGTTTCCGTGGTGGCTGCGACACCATTGTCCATTCTCATGCCGGCGTGAGGATGAAGCCGATCCCTCAGCATTGGGAATCCTAGAAGACAGTGAAACACTTTCGACTTTGTTTCCGTGCGAAAGAAGTAGATGAACTGGAGACATGGCATGCAGTGGAGTGCTTGGGCGGCTTGGCAATGGGGATCCAGAACCTGCCTGACGGTTCTGTTTTATGTGTTTCTTTGCATTTTGGTGCCAACTATGTAGAGCCTTGGCCACTCTCTCGTCGAAGATGGTTGGCTTCATGGTTGAACCCATCTACTTGATGTCAACAAAGGAAAAAAAAAAAACAATTTAAACTGTTATATATATAGTTAACACAGACACACCAAAAAAAATATGTATAGAAGTTTTTTGATCAACCTGTGTCACCAAAGCATAGAGAGGAAGAGTCACATAGCTGCAAAGTATCTGTATGAGGACACTGACAATATAACAACCATTATTGCTGTCAGTAAGGCTATTCATATCATCTTAACCATTCACCTAAGTGGCAATTACAGCTGCAATAAGCCGATCAGTTTATGAATAGCTTTGGATCGATTTGGATACAAGCTTGTTCAAGTTTGTTCAGAATTGAGCTTGAGTTTAAGTTTAAAAATCATTTAACAAACGAGCGAGTTCAAGCAATGACCTTGGCTCGTGAACATATATGTATGACACAAACACAAGCTGAGTTGAGTTTGAAGAAAATGTTTGAAATTTGGGATGATTCCGAACAATCTTTGTAACGAACTAGCAAAAATCCAAACACTTTAGTACTGGGCTCTATTGGTAAGTCGATGTATATAATTTATAGACTAATGAAGACACTGACCCCATTGAGATCCTGATGACCACATCTACTCTTCTCTCGTGGAAGCAAGATCGTACGCCAAATTCATACTACAAAACAGTGTTCAGAAAATCGATTGTCACCTATTATAAGGAAGAGACGTATAGACCTTAGATTGATTCATATGTAACCATTGATTGTGAAATTATAATATGAAGTAAAATATATAATAAACTATGAAAACTTTACTTATTTATTATGTTTTTATTGGATAAAAGTGAAAGAATGGTAACATGGATATAAAAACATTGATCTAAAAACCAATGGCTTACCCAAGTCCATGCAAAGAAGGCCAGCTGAAATGCATTCTGTATATATGGGTAAAGACAGATATCATAAACCACTGTTAGTTATAAAAATGATGAGATACATGGAAAGCATATAATGATGGGGATGGATTTATGAGTAGTTTGATAATTCGTACAAATTTATATAATAAAACATGATTCATTTTAAATTCTTTAATTTAACTTAGCATGAGAGTGACTGAGAGTCATTCAATTTAATGATATTCCGTTAAAATTAAAAATTTCACTCGCCCCATACCATTTAAATGATAGGACAAAGTTGATTTTGAATTGTCTACTTAAAAAAGAGGAAGAAAAAATAAATTATTAATTCATATATTTGTACTACACAATTGATATTTAATTTGTTTTGTGTTATCCAGTGCCGTTAGACACGAGTTATTGCTAATTATTTGATATAAATTCAAATCTAACGGCTTTAAATCATAATCAAGTTAATTGATAATATTCGTTTAATATGTAAATCGTGTTTTCTTGTTATATAAGATTACGTAATATTTTGAATGAGTAGGATATGTAATGAGTAACCTTTAACTTGACACAACTTGGATAAAACATGAAGCTAACAGTACAATCCGTTGCTAGTCCTATATTAGGTACAGAATAGTACCTGAAAGAGAACAAAATTGATGAGGTAGAGCAAGAGGTGAGGGCGGTTGAACCAGAAGAGGTCGTCTCCTGGCTGAACAACTAAGCTTCCTCTAACCACCTCTCCTTTGTCTTGAATCCTCAAACCCATCTTGGTTATGATAACCTGTAGCTTTGTACCCACTAACAGGATGACCTGCACAACCCCCATCAACTGTTTAGATCTATTTTTGCAGCATCCGTAGATATACAGAGAACTGGGCCCGACAATTGTGTTAAAAAAATTTTCATCTATATTTCATTCGTTTATATAAACGGGTCCAACTATCATGTCTATACATGAATCGTTTATTAGATGGGTTATCCAATACAACTTGTGTGTCACCCACTAATTAAGAGAATATGTTAAAGTATTTCGAGTCCACAAGAAAAATCATCAACTCGTCACACATTACACATGTTTGACATGTTTACTATAACAATAAATCATGGTTAAACAAAAAAATAAGCGTTAAATAACAACTAAATTTGAATGAATCTAAGAGATGGAAAGTGTGAGATGAGGCAGAGGTTGAGAGACCTAACTTTTATAAAATCACTGTTAACTGGTTAAACAGATTGAAACGAATTTATGAGTTAAATACGAAACCAATTCGTTTATTTTACGAGTTTGTTGAGTTAATCTGTTAACCACTTGAAATCGTTAAGATTACACTCAAATCCACTAAATCCGTGTTAGATTCGTGTCAATTTTACGAATCGTGTCTAAAATTATCAGACCTGCAGAGAACAATCCAATTCATGGGTCTTTGGTTATCATGATGCTCGGGCAGGGCCGGCCCAAGGCATAAGCCACTTAGGTGGCTACCTAGGGCCCCTAATATTTTGGGGCTCCAAATATCTTGAATTGAGGACTTTTTATAATAGAGTAATGGCCTATTGAAATTATAAAAGAGATTCCTACTATTACATTACACAATGACCCATTGCAAAAAGAGGACCCAACAACTATTCTATTACTTTTAATAATCTCTTTCAATGTGTCAGACATCTGATAAAAAAATATGTTAAACACATGTGAGTTCTCTCTCTCTCTCTCTCTCACACACACACACACAAACACATACAATGTAAGTGATTGTTATTGTTAATATTAAAGAAGAAATAACTGGAGTACTAAAAAAAAAATTATCAGCAAGAAAAATATTCTTAAATAGAAATCATACTATTCCTTTAATCCAATATAGGTTTTAAAATATTAAAAATAGATAAAATGTATTTAACTCTTAACTTAGTTTTAAAAGATTAAATTCTTTATGTGATGAAAGTTTTGAAAAAATATGGTCTTAAACTTGAAATTTTTTTAAACGTGATTTATTTTATATTTTAATTTATTTTTACGAAAAAGTCTTAAGAACTTTCATATGTAGACACTATACATGGCAACAACGATATAATGATACATAAAAATATTAGATTCTTTTTCAAATGCCTCAATTGCTTATTGAATATTGTAAATAATGTCTTTATGAGTTTATTCTACTTGAAGAACAGTTTTTGAATTATAAATTAATAAAATTTTATCTACAATCAATTATGTTATCAGAAAAAGTGTAGAGATTAGCAATATTATCTATTGAAAATTGTTTATTAGTAAAATAAAAATTTAAAAGCCTAAAATATTTTAGCATCTCAAAAAATAAATAATATTTATTAAATGTTATTATTTAATATTATGTATATTAATCAAGCATATATATATATATATATATTAATGGGGTCTTATTTAACATGGGTAAATTGTAAGGGTACACAAAATTAGACTTATTTGGTAAAAAGTACACACTAAAAAATGTATGGTTACTAAATCCTTAATTTTGATACTTATTTGTATGTAAGTACACAATTTGAATTTGCCTAATTTTTTTGTGACATTTTAGTCCTCCATTGATCCATGTGTATGTTCTTTAGAAAGTGGAGTATTAAATATTTCCTAGTTTTATGGGAGAATTTTATTATTTAATGCACATTGATTCATGTGTATTTGTTACTATATATATATACGTGCAAAGTATAACATTGAAAGTGTAAAGTGTAAAATATTATCTTATGTCTGACCTTTCTTAATGGAAAATGTAAAGTGTTATAAGGTAATATTAAAAGTAACAATAACAGTGTAACAATAACAATGTAACAAGCTATTTACACAAGATAAAGGGAGACATTAGCTAAAGTGTTACACAAACAGAATATACATGTCTCATCTTACACTAAAAATGCTAATTAATTGAGAAAGTGTGAAAATGTTACACTTTCAATGTTAATATGTAACATTTTACACTTTCCATTAAGTAAGGTGAGACATAAGTTAATACTTTACACTTTCAATGTTACACTTTCCACTTTCCACTTTCCACTTTCCACTTTTCATTTTCAATGTTACACTTTACACGTATATACATACTTGTATATATACTTATATATATATATATATACATATATATATACTTGTATATATGTATATAAATATAATATGCGTATATAAATACATACATATAAATATATATATATATATATATATATATACACAAGTATAAATATAAATATATATACGTATAAATAAATAAATAAATAAATAAATAAATAAATAAATATATATATATATATATATATATATACGTATTTATATATACTTGTTTATATGTATTTATATATACTTGTTTGTATATATATTTATTAACAAATACACATGAATCAATGTGGATTAACTATTAAAGTTCTCCTATAAAACTATGAGATATTTAATGCACCACTTTCCCTAAAATGGACATTTATGTTTTTGTATCTAACTAGGGTACCTTTTTTTAAAATATTTTTTAATATATATTTTTTGTTAAATAAATCTAATTACGTATACCGACTTTCAAAAACCCCATTTAACATTCCGCCTAGGGCCCTAATAACGTTGGGCCGCCCCGGGGCTCAGGAGGCTGCTTTAGTATCTACACAATCTTTTCGAATGCAGAGATACCGAAAAATACGAGGTATGGAAACGTTACTTACAATCAATGGGATGAAGGGTAACCACAAATAGGATTTCCAGCCTGCCAAAAAAAGAAAAAAAGAAAAAAAATAGTACATGTTTGAGTTGAAGCATTAAGAATTTTGCTTAGGCTATGGAACTAAAAAGTGGTCATATAATTAACTATTGACAATCTAAAATAAAAGAAAATGATTCAAAAAAAGATTTTTTCGCAAGAAATTTCAAAGGAAAAATGCATTCACAATTGTCTTGAAGGCTAAAAATTACAATAGAAATGTTTACATAGGCTATCATACTAAATGTAATCACATAATGAACCTTGTTACTTTGAAATAAAAGAAAAATGATTGAAAAATCAGAAATTTTCACTAGAATTTCTCAAGAATGATTTGTATCGACATTTTGAAAATATTATGATATTAATATTAATGGGCGGCACATGCATGTCGCGCCATTCTGGTTGATTTTCTCGTTTTTTTTTTGTATTTTTATAGCAAGGCATAAAAAAAATAAATAAAGACAAAAGTGAGCTAGATTATCTTACCATGGGTATTAAACAGTAAGAACAATACCGCTAACAACCAGATTGGTGGGCTGAGAAAAAAGAAAAAAATGAAGTTATTAGTTAATTTAATCAAAAGATGCTATTTTTTGCCTTACTCATGATTGGCATCTTTCTTAGCACTTAGTAATTTTCATCATGTGTGTTTTTTTTTTTAAAGTATAGAATTGGTTCCCAAATTCAAACCAGGTCAAGTATAGTCTATATTTCGTTTTAGAACCGTTTAACCACGTGTTTTTTAGGATTAAAGACTATAATACAAATTTATGATTCATTTATAATTATATATAGTTGGATTTGTGTTAAATTATTTATTAGATGGGTCTTACAGATCCACTCATTTATTTATTATTCGAATTCGTTAAGGCAAACCAAAATCCACTAGTTGTTTGCCAATTTTGCGTCATTCTGTCTAGAATTCTCAGGTGTATGATTGTTATCCAAGGACTGGTAAAAGGATTGGTGACTCAAATGATCCCTTACCTAATCCCTACAACTACTTTGAAGTCCTCTTCAAGTGATCTCTTGATGTACTTCTGGAAATTGAAATTAGTTCGACTTTGAGGAGCCAAATGTGCCTGAAAATGTTGAATTCAATTGAGCCATATGCTTATAATCAAAATAAAAAATAGAAAAATTGAGCCATATGCTAATAAGCATATACAACAATAACAATAGTCTTTTAGAGTTGCACTCTAACATTATGAAAGATCACTTACAGTGATAAATCCATGGCGCAGAGTTAAAAAGTCAACCCTTGGAACTGATCTAATAAATTGTCTGAAGAAACACACCTACACATTTTAAAGTTTTTACTATCATTAGAAAATACTTTCATAGATAAAAAAATTACGTATACAACATAAGTCACAATACACTCAGAAGTTTCCCGTCTTATAAGCTCAAGAGAGATATTAAGAAATCAAACCTACCAAATGTGGACAGATGGTAATCTAGCATCAGGAGGTGTACGAGTAATATTTTAAATGTGAGGGGGTCTAAATGATTAAATGACAAATATTAGGAAATTTAAGTATAATTTATCTATTTAGTTTTAGACGGCAAACTAATAACTGTTAGTTTGAAGTGTACATTAATACAGTTTTTTATATTTGAGGGTACAAATTAAGATTTTTGGTACAAATTGAGATTCGAATGATTTTTGGGGGTACAATTTAAAATTAACCCTAAACTAAATTAAGGCTAATTGCACAAAACACCCTGGACTTTGAATCAGTCCCACATGACTACCCTCAACCATGAGGTGTTTCATCAAGTAGTTGATATAAAGAAGTACAACATGTGAGCTAGTTTTCTTACAGTCCAAAGGAGGATGGGTGAGCGGCTCCAGAAACTCAAGTGCCTTCGCCCGAATGACGTTTCTCTGGCAAACCTAAGTCTCTCCGGGTCTGCAAGACATTCCAAGTGTTAGTTTTATAAACTCTAATTTTTAAGGGTTATTTTTTTTTTGTATTTTTGGGTATTGAAAAGTCATGGTATTTGAAGTGATATATACCAGAAGTGTCTAGAATATTTTTGAGAAGTCTATTCATGTATTTGGGAGACTTATTCATGTATGGTTGCATGGAAAGTTGAACAGTTTTTTATTGGGGATAGCCAGCCATAAAGTGGCCAAATTTAGAGTGTTTTGGCTAGAAAAAATCAGTATAAAAGGGGCCGGAGTTACTGCCCAAAATAGAGAGTCTCTGTGCAGAAAAATAGAGAGGAAAAAGTGAGAAAAACAGTGTGTTTGCTGCCTGAAAAAAACAGCAGCTTGTTCATGAGCAGAAGCTCTATTTCTTTGTATTTTCTTGAGTGTTTATTGCTGAAAAATTCTGATAAGTTGCTCTCCATGTATTCCTTGATATTGTGATCATATTTGATGAAATATAGAGATGTTTCTTGAGTGAAATTAGTGTGGAAGTGGAGCAGTTTTTCATCCTCTATTTTTGTGCTCTTTAGTTTTTTTTTTTTTTTTTTTGCTTCTAATTCCCATCACCAAGGTCCATACATGAGTTATGAATAAATAAAATAACCTTTTGTCAACCGCTGGTTCAGACTTACACCGTTACACGTAGATTAGTTATAAGTTCAAATAACATATGATTAGAATATTCCACATTACCCAAAAAAACCCTTATTATCATAATATAAATGATTTTCTTATGGAATGAACGTAGCATGGAAAACACTAGGATTGCTCACATGACGGAAAATTACCATGTGAGAATTGATATTCAGTTGTCGTCGTGTCCATTTCCCATGCCTTCCACCTTCTCATCTATAATCAGGCAAAAATTCTCTCTTTATATATATATTAAGCCGAAAACACATACACACACACACATACAGATATGAGAGAGAGATAGAGAGAGAGAGAGACCTTTAATCTGCCTAAAGCCAATATGAGTATGCAATAAAGCACATGAAAAACAGCTAACACGAAGATGAATATGTGAAGTTGGTGGATGCCATCTTGCGAGACAAATGGAACTTTCTCCTGCAAGAAAAAAATGCAGCCAAACACAGCTCAATCTGAGGAGAATGATGAGGCGTGGTGTACGTGCCATCTTTCCTTATCAATTTAAACGTTCATAATATATTGAACTATTTTATCACAAATTAGGAATAACCTATTGGTTGAGTGACATGATTGAGGTAATTCAACATTATCTCACAAATATTAGTAGTGTGGTGACCACAATGAGATAAAACGTATATTTTGGCACCAATTCTGTATTTTATCCTCATTTTTTGTTATAGTCATTACTTTATGTTTAGATACCCGAATGACAGTTAATTAGCATTCATCTTTGGACGAATATTCCAAGAACAAGCACAAAAGTGCTAAAAAGTCCACCCCCCCAACACACACACAAAAACCCCAGCCAAACAAAAGAAGAAATAAGATAGTATGCCAGCATTGACACAGGAACTCTCATGCAATTAGTATAAAGCTAGTTTTTTTTTTTCCATGACAGAAGCAAGAGAATATCTGTTCTTACCTTGGCTGCGCATTTGTCATACACAGCAGCGGCTAAAACACGACGAGGACTGTCACCGGAGTCTAGAAAAGCTAGAAGTCTTCTTCCTCCTTTGTCATCGGAATACTTTTCCTCCACTTTGTACTTGGTGTCTTCTTGCTTCTTGTCACATGAATGCCAACTATTTCCAACTGATTTTGGGATACAGAATTCTGAAATGGGCCCCTGTCCAACTGTCAGGAGCAATGAGACAAACCCCAGCAGCATGAGTTCTGGAAGAGAGAGAGAGAGAGTAAGTTTTGATAAACCGATGACAACCTATGTTTTGAATCAAATATGGAGAAAACCAACCAACCAGATTTTATCTTTTCAAGGGCTCTTTTGTTTCTCTTTGTCAGCCACTGCATGCAAAACAAGTGGACATTGAGACTCGGCACTGAAAAATCCAGAAAGAAAGCTAGGTCGGAAATTTTTTCGCTGAGTTAGATACATTTTTCTGGCAAAGCCAAGTGATGTACCTAATCAATGAATTGTAACTACTCATCGATTTGTCCGTCAAATTTTTCAGAAAACCAACTTGTATTTTTTAACAGGCTGTGAGAGTTTCTCATTAGATGTGCACACTGCATCACAAGCGGTGTATTTAATTCACTTGAAATTTTCTCAAGCTAGCTCAAAATGGAAAACATCTATGGTGGTAAACTTATACCTTTCCAATTAAGTGGATGATGTGTTCAATGATGATTGATGTTGCAATCAGCACAAGACAGACAACTGCAACCGCCCACGTGGGCGTTTCCTGCAGAGATCGCTCTCCTTTGGCTGCCATCTTTATTGCCTGTGTGTTCTTCGTATATATGAAGACTCAAAATAAGTTAAATAATTTTCAAGCATGAAATATGGGAGGCCTTCAGGTTCAAAACTATCGGTTTCAATTATCAAAACGCAATTAGCCGAGAGAAAATTTTGTGTACGAGCCTAGAGAAATTTTTTTTTTTTTTTGGGGGGGGCGGGGGGGAGTTGAAAGAAGGAGAGAAGTGATGAACTCATTAAAGTGAGGCTTCTAAATGATTTATAGACTTGTGGATACAGGAAGGCAAAGAGGGAAAGTAAGATTTGACTTCTGACTTGTTGAGAGGAGCAGGGACTAAGAGAAGATGACGCTGATTAGAAAATAATTATTAAAAAAGGGGTCCTAAGAATAATGCGATATGTTGGTAATTTTGTTACAATTTTTATTGATTTAAAATTTGAATTAGCTTATCATATTAATAACACATCATTTCGTATATTTTTCCATCAATCTAGCATTACATATCACATATGGAATTCTTTTTCTGGTCAAGATAAATATATAATGATATATGTTTTTCATAGCCACTTAGTGTTTAAAATTTATCAAAAAAAAGTTAAAAAAAAAATTCAAAGAGCATTACAGAAATAGAAATATAGAATGTAGGTATAGAATTGTGTTTTTTTTTTTTTTTGGGGGGTGTGGGGGAGAGAAAGGGTGTCAATGTTTCTCATATTTTTTAATGTACACAAATATGTTTAGATTACTGTTAAGAAAAATAACACTAGGTGATAGATAAACCTCAGTACAAATCGTCTAGGAATGGTTATAGAAAAATGCCTTATGCTCATTTTGATAGATGCATATGTATGTGTGTGTGAATATATTGAAGAATTTAAATGTATGGTAGGGTTTTGTTAGAACCAACAACGGGACATACATAGGTGGCTTAGGCGACTTAATTTCCTGTTTTTGTCCAGACATAATGCATGGCTCTTTTTGTCCCCCCCCCCCTCCCTCTCCTCAAATTTTGTTATTAGTGAATTATTTATTGAGTTTTTTCCTATATTAAATAATTCTTTTGAAGGTACCATTTGGTAAGATTACAAATCCCACTTTCCAAAAATTCCCTATTTCATTGCCGAAAGCCTGGGCAAATCAAGACAAAGATGAGAATAATACAGTATATTTGTTGTTGACCATGCATTCTCAAGATTCCTGGTTTTAGTGTTTTTTCTTCATTTGCTTTTAGTGATCAAACAAGCAAATTAAATTTTATTTTGGACAGATCAGAATGCCTTTGAGCTATTCCAAATCTGTGTGAAAATGTCGATGAATTATTGACCCATGTTTCACCTTTATGAGCTCTCCTCCGCATGAACCCCCAAGAAGGTGCTAATAATAATCACAAGTTTTAGGATAAGACTAGGTTATGTTATGGGAAAAAGAATTTGATATCATATCATAAGTAATATGTAGTTTTAGATCTTAGTTTGATGTATTTGTAGCCATCGATTGTAAAAATAATAAAATAAAAATCATAATTCTTGATGATGATGCATAAATGGAGTTTGTACACCACCTGTCAGATGAGTAGTAATAATTGCAGTAGTAAAGTAGAGAGATACAGAGACACAAGTAAGACAAAGATTTATAGTGATTCGGTCAACGTGACATATGTCTACTTTGAATGACTAGGGTCGTCAGGGTATTTTATTACTTAACATGCGTATCGAGAGCAGAGAGTTACAAGCTGAGAGAGATAAGAGAGATGTGTTCGACTGAATGTGATGCCCTGTAAGTGTTGGCGGGACTTACAATTTATAGTTGTCTCCCAACAAATTGAGACGACTTATTAATAACTACGTGACTAATTTGGTGGAGCTGACGCCCCTCTTCTCAATGGGCGAGGCAGTTACGGTACTCCCCATAAGATTCGGTCAAAAATGACGTGATGGTCAACTCTTTCCAAGGTGGCGTGGATGAGGCTCTTGGATGACTCTACATGCTCCCTTGGTTATGTAGCTCTTCTTGTCCTACTGAGCTTGACCGGGTGTGAACCCTTTAGGTTGAACTTCTTGGATCGCTCTCAAGTTAGGCTATTAATTTAAAATGTGTTTACAATGTGAATTGGACTCTTGGGCTTCACCTATCAGTTGATACGATTTTATTAGATGAAAAAAGAAGTATCATACTGAATGTTAAACCCATTCTTAAGCTGGTAGTTTTCTTTGATGCCAGGATTAAATAAAGTGCGACCCTTACGGACTGCCATGACAGTGGGGGCCAGTTCTAGATGAATATTACAGTTTCGTAGTACCACCTAGTTTAATTGCCGGATGATCAAAACAGGCAGAGAACTTGACTGAGTAAATTATATATATGATCATGGAATGAATTGTTTTACTAACTTAAAAAAAAAAAATTACAACCCTCCTCTTGTAAAGATTAAGCATAGTGCAGCTTAGGATGTGACTATTTTTTTTTTCATTGTTTGTGTGGGGTTTGATGGATTGATGTTCACACGAGAGGTTCTAATGATTTTAAGTCAAGAACAGAGAAAGGTACTATAAATTTGTTGTGATAGCAAAATTTGTTCACACTTGACACAACAACAATGATATAACAATAAAGTCGAAGTGTATTTTAATTAGTTATATTTCACTTTTTTTTTTTGACGTGTTTAAAGTAATAACATGTTTGTGATGTTTAGGTTGCACAAATAACTTGAACGTTAAATTGAGATTAGAGAAAGACGAATATCAATATGATCTTGTCGAAACTGACTCATGGTGTGTGTAATGGAGCTTTATCACACAAGAAGGGGAAGAAAACACCATCTCACCACCCAAACCCCAAAGACCCAAAAAAAAAAAAATCCATAACAAAGGAAAGGTAAAGCCAAAATAGAGGGCTACCTGAATGAAGAAATGGAGTGATTGACCTACCACCACTAGTCTCCTAGAAAGCTCCCACGATGCTCTAATCTTTTTATGGGTGAGATATAAATATGCATATTTTGAGTTCGAGTTCCTTAAATGCATAAAATTTAAGTTTAATTGCTTCATGCTGTTTAAAGTTCAAAATACCCATGATTGAAACTATTCTTGTTAAAAAAATAGAAGTTCTGGGAAAAGTAAATGTATATGAAGCCATATGAATGAGAAAGATGGATTCCCTAATTCAAATTTGATTATAAAAACTTCAAATCCCAACTCAAACGCTGCTTGATCTAAATCAGGTTGCGATTTCTTGATTAACTACAAACTCATTACTAAAATTATCAAAGTTTATAATGACCTGCTCAAGTTACCCTACAATATATGCAATAACGTCTTTGTTTCGAAAAAAACGAAAGGGGAAAATAAGAGGGACTTCAAACTATCTGGATTTGGTGAGCAGTACTAATAACTTCAAAAAAAAAAAAAAAGCAAGCTTGGTAAGATGTCATTATCATATAAAATCTTCATCCATACTTCTTGCTTTTCAATGTAATTTACATGTTCATGTCAATTGTAGACTTGTACCATTGCTATAACCATTAGTAATATGTGGGGACAAGACCTCATAAACTTATCAACGTCAAGCATTGAAATTAATTTCTGTGTTGCATCGTAGATTTCACCCCATTAATTAAATCCCAGACCTCACATAACAGAGACCAGGTCAGTGTTCATTACCCAAATGAACTGTCTCATTGACTCCAATAGTGTTCTTGATTTCTTTCTTTTCTCTCTTCACTGACCTCGCCTACTTCGTTAGAATATGACCGGCCTTGACGTATAAGATTGTTAAATGAAAATAATCTCTCATGATGAAATTGTGAACGCTCAACTCTCCCTAAACCGAGAGTGACAGAGTCTCTTAAACTTAATGCACCCTTTACCTACTTAATTTTTTAGAACTACTTGAAGAAATGCAGCATTTTGATATAGATACCAATTGGAATGCAAGACACCGTTTGATGCATGGTGGACGGATAGCAAGGAATTCTTCGTTTGAAAATTGCCTGATTTCTTATTAAAAAAAAAGGTAGTATTAACAATAGATCTGTCATAAGGAACGGATGGAAACTTCGTTCTAGCTTTGTATACTGTTGCTCAAATAAACTTATTCCAATGTTCATTGGTCGACCACTTATATTTCGTCACATGACAGATTGTTAAATTCAGGACTCCATCCACCCATATTTGAAGTATGTTCATCAACCTATATGTAATTTACTTAACACACAATACCACATGAATAAATGGTGCTTAAAACAAAACACTACAAAAATCCTTACACTTTTATGTGACATTCTCGTGTGTTTTGACCACACCTTGTTCATTTACAATCTCCTTGTAATCCTACAACATGCAAAAAAAAGTCAGTCTTCCTCAAAGTTAGAAAAAAAGTGTTGAATGCAAGCTATTAATATTAGTGTGATTGCAAAAAAAAAAATNTATAAGATTGTTAAATGAAAATAATCTCTCATGATGAAATTGTGAACGCTCAACTCTCCCTAAACCGAGAGTGACAGAGTCTCTTAAACTTAATGCACCCTTTACCTACTTAATTTTTTAGAACTACTTGAAGAAATGCAGCATTTTGATATAGATACCAATT